CCTCACATCCATCAGAGCTTTACTTAAAGATGCTGAGGAGAAGCAAATATCAGATGAACCTGTCAAGTTATGGCTAGATCGGCTCAAAGAAGAATCTCTTGACATGGAGGATGCTTTGGATGAGTGGAGGACTGTACTCCTGTATCGGCGAACTGATGGAGCTGAGAAAAATGCTTCTTTTCTTCAGAGGAAGGTACGTGTTTTCCTCAGATGTTTTTCTTTTCATCCTGTTAGATACCATGGCATTGCTCGCAACATAAAGGAAATCAATCGAAGGTTACATAAGATTGCTGCGGATAAAGCTAACTATCAGTTAACAAGCATGCCAATCAGTAAACTGCCAAGACAAGCAGAAAGCAAGTCTTTTATTGATGAGTCGAGCTTGCTTGGTCGAGATGATGTCAAGAATGAAATAATTAGCCATTTGCTGTGTGAGACTAGCAAAAAAGAAGAGGGTAGCCCAATCCAAACGATCTCTTTAGTAGGGATTGGAGGTATTGGTAAGACTGCTCTCGCCCAACTGGTCTACAATGATGAAAATGTTAAACAACATTTCCCTTGTAGAGTCTGGACATGTGTTTCAAACATTTTTAACGAGAGCAAAGTCGCAAAAGCAATCATTGTAGGGCTTCAAGGCCTAGATGAACTAGCAGTCCTCCAGTTGGAGTCAGTTCCATTAGATGCTCTTTTAGATAAAATTTGCAAGTCCATAGAGGGAAAGAAGTACCTTCTTGTTCTAGATGATGTATGGACAGAAAAAGATAAAGACTTTGAAGGACTGAATGCTACTTTCAAATGTGGTGATCCGGGGAGTAGGATTTTGGTGACTACACGTAAGAGTACTGTGGCAACAATTATGGGAAGTTCACACACCATTCAATTAAATAATTTGAGCCGAGAGATCTGTTGGTTTATCATTAGGAATATAGCACTAAGAGGAAAGGACCAAAGGACTTGTGAGGAGTTCAAGCCAATTGGGTTGAAAATTGCAGAAAAGTGCAAAGGTCTGCCGCTTGTTGCAAAGACTTTGGGAGGCCTCTTGCGGTTTAAAACTGGTATACAAGGGTGGGAGCATGTTTTGAATAGTGAGCTATGGAGAATGGGAATGGTACATAAAGATGTTTTTGTTCCTTTGTTGCTAAGTTATTATGATCTGCCTTCACCAGTAAAGCAGTGCTTTACATATTTAGCTATTCATCCTAAAGATGAGCTTCTTTTTCCTTGTGATATGATTTCGCAATGGATGGCACAAGGTTACTTAGGCGTTGATGATGATGATTCACCATTGGAACTAAAAGGCTCTGACTACTTTCAATGCTTAGAGGCTCGCTGTTTCTTCCAAGATTTTGAGTATAAACATCAATTTTTTACGTGTAAGATACATGATTTGGTACATGACTTTGCTCTCTTTTTGACAAAGGGTGAGTTTATGAAATTGGAGGTCTTCAAAGGTAATTGAAGTTCAACGATGAACAGAGAAAGAAGTCTTCGACATTTGACAGTGAGGGGAGAAGAGGGTCTCTGTTTTCCTGAATTCATTCCTAATGCAGAAAAATTGCGAAGTGTTGAGGCTCATTGTAAAATTAGTGGTGATTGTGCTGCTATCAGTGAAAAGGCCATGTGCAATTTGTTTAATCAAGCTAGACGCTTAAGGCTAGTGGGTGTGGCTGGATATGATGGTTCAACTATTCCAGAAGAAATAGGAAACTTATTGCATTTGAGATACTTTGACTTGGATGCTAGCAGAAACCTTAAAAAGTTGCCAAAAGCACTCTTTAAATTGCACAATTTGGAACATTTATCTTTGTATGGCTGTTATAATCTTGAAAGACTACCCGATGAGATAGGAAATTTAGTCAACTTGAAGCTTCTTGATACCGAAGGTTGCGACAAATTAGCTTGCTACCCAAAGGAAGTTGTGAGATTAACTCAACTTACACAATTATTGGGGCTTATTGTGAGAATTGATCGTGACGATCCTGAAGAGTTTAGCATTGGAGATCTAGCAAAGTTGAATAAACTTCTCGTGCTTTCTATGGAAATAGTGGGAAATAAAATCAATGTGGGCGAGGCTAAAAAGGTGAAGCTTCAAAATTTGCAGGAGGTGAAGATATTGGTGGATGGGGACATAGCGGAAGCTGAACATGTCATACTTGAATCCTTAAACATGTCCTCTGTA